AATGTCACAAACGTCATACTGACTCAAAGGGACAGGGTAAGCTCCAAGTTCAGGAAGTCAGACGCTGAAGCCCTTAGGAATCTCCCCATCGACACCAAATTTTTATTTCCTGAAGAGGATTTAAAAAATATCTGTGAAGGGTCGGATAAATCTAAAACCTCAAAAGCGCTACAAGATTTAGCTTCAAACTGGAAAAATCGAAAACAGAATTATGATAAATCCAGTAATAACAACTCCAACAGAAGTAGTAATCAACATTCCAACTTTAACAGGAACAACTTCAACAACAACAACAACAATAGAAACAACAACAGAAACAACAACAGAGGAAACTTCTCTGACCGTTCTACTTCTACAAAATCCAACAACAATAACAACAAATCAGGCTTTAAGAAGCGTAAATGACACTTCAATAACATCAATGTCCCAGCCCCGCCTCCCCCCGTTCTCACCTATGTCCCAGCTGGGACCAGTGGGAGGCAGGATTCAACTACACTTAAAAAACTGGGAACTCATCACAAAGGACCAATGGATTTTAAATGTGATAAAACATGGCTACATGCCACAACTAGTGAACAATCCACCTTTGACAAAAAACTTCAACAACTTCGAATCGGCATCAAAAACAAAAGCTCTACTGCTTCAAAACATAGTAGACCTCCTAATTCAAAAACAAGCTGTGGAGGAAACAGACTACAACACACCGGGCCACTACAGCATCATATTCTTACGCCAAAAGCCAAACGGAGATTACAGACCCATAATAGACCTGTCTCTCCTCAACAAACACATAATATGCCCAAAGTTCAAAATGGAAACTTCAGCCAAAATATCAAACTCTCTACAAAAGGGCGAATGGGCCACATCCATCGATTATCGGGATGCTTACTACCATATACCGATAGCCAAACCATTCAGGAAGTTTCTTCGCTTCGTGATCAACAACAAAGTGTACCAATTCAAAACACTTCCATTCGGAATGTCAACCAGCCCTTATGTTTTCACAAGAGTGACATTAGCAATCGGTGCCTTCCTACACTTCCAAGGGATATTAACACACCAATATCTCGACGATTGGCTAATACGAGCCCCATCTGCACAACAGTGCCAAATATGGACACAAACAGTACTATCAGTGACGGAAAAACTCGGTTTTGTGATCAACAGAGAAAAATCCGAACTGATCCCAACACAGATTTTCAAGTACATAGGCACCCAATACAACCTAATACTAGGCCTAACATATCCTCCGCAAGACAGGATCCAGAAAATCTTAGAAATAGCACAATTATTCACCAATACCCTTTCTCAACCAACAAGGCAGTGGATGAAACTACTAGGCCTACTAGCCTCAGCAGAGAAAAATATACCCTGGGGCAGACTATACATGAGACCAATTCAACAGTGCCTAGCCAGCCAGATGTCTCTTACAAAATCACTAGAGACACCAATCTACATCAACCAAGAAGTAATAAACACACTGAAATGGTGGATGGACGAGCAGAATCTACTCATGGGTCAACCTCTAGGAATGTTTGTCCCAGATCACACAATCTTCACGGATGCATCGGAGACTATGTGGGGTGCACATATGGACTCTGTGGAAATCAATGGATTCTGGTCCCCATCAGAAATGAGAAACCACATCAACTGGCTAGAACTAGCGGCAGTATTGAAAGTTCTACACAAACTGAATCATCTACTGGTACCTCAAGCAAACATTCTAGTTTGCCTGGACAACACAACAGCCCTAAGCTACATAAACAAACAAGGCGGGACAAAATCGAAAAGTCTTCTGACCCTAAGCCAGGAAATCCTAATCTGGTGCAAAAACCACCAAATAAACATAAGAGCTCAACATATAGCAGGATCCCTAAACCGACGGGCAGACGCACTATCTCGGGACAGGATAGTGAACACAGAATGGTCTCTACTCCCACAAATAGTGAAACGACTGTGGCAAATATGGGAGACTCCTCAGTTAGATTTGATGGCGACATGTCACAACAACAAATTACCACTATATGTATCCCCAGTACCAGACCAAAACAGCTGGGGAACAGACGCAATGTCAATCCCGTGGGACAATCTCAACTTCTACATATTCCCACCAACAAGCATGATCGACAAAGTTCTAACAAAAATGAGAACACACAATTGCGAAGCCATAATGATAGCTCCAAAATGGCCAAATCAACCTTGGTTCACGCAAATTCTGGAACTTCTAACGGACTACCCAAGAACGCTTCCAGTGTCTCAAAAACTACTAAAAATGCCAAAGACAAGCATGTTTCACCAGACTCCGGAAATATTTGCCCTTCACGCCTGCAAATTGTCAACGACACCCTCAAAAAACAAGGCTTTTCTACAGAAGTGTCTCTTCGAATCTCAGAATCATCAAGGAGGAAATCCACAAATAAACTCTATGATTCCAGGTGGAACACCTTCACTGTTTGGTGTTATGAACGGAATTCAGATCCATGCCAAGCAGATATTCCTCTAGTGGCAGAGTTTCTACTATATCTTCACCAGACTAAGAAACTTTCAATTCCTACCATGGAAGGATACAGAACTGCCATTAATACAGTACTGAAAAAATCATCTGATATCGACTTGACTGATAATTCCCTCATAGGCGATCTTATCAGATCTTTTAAACTGGAAAACCTGACACCAAGGAACATGGTACCTAAATGGAATCTTGTATTTGTTCTTAATGCTTTATCCAAAGCACCCTTCGAACCTATGGCTACAGCGGAACTTAAATTCACATCATGGAAAACACTCTTTCTTTTACTCATGGCTTCAGGGAAGAGAAGAAGTGATGTACATGCACTCGACTTCAGACGTTTAAAATGGTCAGAATCCAGGGACCAAGTTACTATGTATCCCTTCATAGGATTTCTACCAAAGTCACTATCAGCTGCAGAAGGAGAATCTCGCTTTCAACCAATCCTCATTAAAGCTCTCACCACACTGGTGAATAGAGACTCTCCAGACAGGACACTTTGCCCCCTCAGAGCTCTACGTTACTACCTTCAAGCCACAGTCTCAACAAGGGGCAACCGAAATAGACTGTTTATACCATACAAAGCCGGATATACTGGAGATATACACGTAAACACTATATCTTCTTGGGTGAAAAATCTGATCTTGTATACTTACAAAAATTCACAAGAAACCGATTACCAAATCAACTCTATTAAAACCCACGAAACCAGGGCCTTATCTGCAAGCCTTGCTGTTCAAGCAAATCTGTCAGTTACTGCAGTTCTCAAAGCCTGCTCATGGGCAAATCACAACACATTCACCAGCTTCTACCTACGAGATACATCAGTGATCGAGGGAGAACTGCGGAAATTAGGCCCTATGATGGTTGCAGGCTCACTATACAACATATAGCATCTTCAACAGCCTTGTGGTGAGTCATCATCATTAAACATTCTTATGATTTTATAATGTAAATTATTTAGAATGTTCTACTTGTTGGTTTGTGGGTCCCTCTGGTTTAACTGAATTCACCCACCTCCTTTTCGGCTACATTCAGGCATATAATTGAGAGGTGGGATGTGTAATAATACTGGGAAAATCCTTTTTTAATTGATTTTCCTGTTTATAAACATACCCACCTCTCAATTACCAAAGTCCCACCCGACCTCCCCACTATTCATTAGGGGGAATAGGGAAATTGAGGACGTTGGCACGTGTACAAACTACTTTATTCAATAGTGGACGCGTCCAAGTTAATGTCATCAGTAAAACCAGAGGGGTGTTAGGACTCCATACAGAGATTGCTAAAGGAATCTAAGGCATATAATTGAGAGGTGGGTATGTTTATAAACAGGAAAATCAATTAAAAAAGGATTTTCCCAGTTTTGACTATAGGTCATCTCGTTTTTCTTAATTACAGAACGGTATGTTCACCATCGAATTTTGAAAATATATTTTGAAATTTCATATTGAAATTTTTACATAAATTGTTTCAATTTGGTTATTTGATTGCTTATTTTTTAAATTCAAAGTACTCACAAACATTACTGTTTTGACTATAGGTCATCTCGTTTTTCTTAATTACAGAACGGTATGTTCCCCATCGAATTTTGAAAATATATATAGTCGGTAAACTCAAAATTTTGCGTGTCAAAGGTCAAGGTAGAATTCTAGGTCATTTCCCTAATTTTCTTGGTTATCAAACTAAAGTTCAATATTTCAATATTTTACAGTTTCAAAGCGAATACATATCATTTTCTTTCTCATTTTCCCATTAAGATCGGATGTCAAAATTGTTTTTAACTAAAAGTGTGGAATCTAGAGTTGGTCAATTTCATCCATCTAGGCCTAGTTTTTTATATTCTTATTGTAGGCTATATACAGGGTGTCAAATAAGTCTGTTCTCCCCCCTTAACTTTTTTATCTTTAAATTTATCATACTTTCCTATATATCATTTTGAAGCTTATGGAAAATGTTGATCACCCTCAAAACATCAATCATAAACTCCTACTAATAAAATTGCTACAATGTTTCTTGTAAGGTTGTAGTTGACCTTTGATTACGACAAAACAAGTAGAATTACCAGGTATAGTGATTGAAAAGTGAAAATGATACTGCAGTGACAATGCCAACATTGGGTGATTTCGATGTTTCTCAATATCGCTACAGAGTAAAATGTGTTACATTCAGGGGAACTTTAGAAGCAGGGTCATCTTTCATCACAAAATAGTTGATAACAGCCAAAATTAAACGTTCTGAAAGATTTATACGGGATCATATCCTCATAGAATTGAGGCCATCCGGGCTGCAGGGGGAGACATACAGACTATTAAAAAAGTGAAATATGGACATCACTAAAAATACTCTAAAAGATATGGAATTTAACCAATCAGTCTGAAATTTGGTGTGTGATCAGCAAATTGAATTCCCTTTAAGATGGTATATTCCAACCCTATGTTATTTCTGAATTAAAAAGTTAAGGGGGGAGAACAGACTTAATTGGCCTAGGTAATTTTCACAAAAATATCTGATTCTACCTTTAATATCACAGCTGTTATTCCATCAAAATGACGTGACTGTCAGATATGACAAATGTACATTTCCATTATCACATTTACAAGGGTAGTATATAAAACACTAGAGTACGAGTATTGCAACAAATGTGGCCTTTTTATTAATCATGTGTAGTTTTCTAATCAGTATGTGGAATGTCTGGATTGAATGCTTTCTTCATACTACAAAATTTCAATAGATGTCACTGTTTTTACCTGGAACAGTCAATGGAAAGAAAACTGACCAAATATTTTTGAAAAAACCTAAATCATAAGGATTGTTGGATAGTCTTTGTAATATTTCATTAGAAGAATGCTTCTTTAATAACTCCTCAACATGGTGATACACCAATTGCTTCCCCTGTCTTTTGCTGGAAGTTTGATTGTCTTTATTACTATATTCTGTCCCCTTGATTCCCTTTGTTCTCAGCCTTACATTGTCTTTAACACTATCAATTGGTTCATTTTTATCTATTTCAGCCAGGCCATTATTCCCAATGGTTTTTCTTTCATGAGTATCATTTTTATTGGTATTTGCTAAACGCTTAATGACACTCTCAATGAAGCCCCTTCTATGCCTCTCATTAGTCGTTTGATTGGTAAACGCCAACATGATGTGAAACAGTGTGAATATGCCCACGGCAATGTCTAAGAAGATCCCAGAAGCTGCCAGGAAGACCATACGTGGAAATTTCATAAATAGATGCTGCAAAAGAGAAAACAAGGCATTAACATGACAAAATGTCACCACCTAAAACAATTTGGTCAATTTAAAGCAAGTTGGAAAATACCTTTTGACCTTAAGAAGGTTTGATTCGAACTTCTTAGAACATGTAGATGATTTTGAAAAAAAAATTCGTCAATTTGAAGCAAGTTGAAAAAATACCTCTTTGACTTTTTTTGACATTGAGAAGGTCATTGAAGGTCAAATGTCAAATGTAAAGTCAGATTTGAACTTCTGAGAACATGTAGATGATTTTGAAAAAAAAATTAAGTAAATTTGAAGCAAGTTGAAAAAAGACCTTTTTGACCTTTTCAAGGTCATTGAAGGTCAAATGTCAAATCTAAAGTCAGATTTGAACTTCTGAGAACATGTAGATGATTTTGAAAAAAAATTAGTCAATTTGAAGCAAGTTGAAAAAAGACCTTTTTGACCTAGAGAAGGTCATTGAAGGTCAAAGGTCAAATTTAAAGTCAGATTTGAACTTCTGAGAACTTGTTAAGTCAAATTTGAACTTCTGAAAAGATGTAGATGATTTTGAAAAAAAAATTTGGTCAATTTGAAGCAAGTTGAAAACAGACCTTTTTGACCTTTTTTGACCTTGAGAAGGTCATTAAAGGTCAAATGTCAAATTTAAATTCAGATGTGAATTTCTGAGAACATGTAGATGATTTTGAAAAAAAAATTAGTCAATTTGAAGCAAGTTGAAAAAAGACCTTTTTGACCTTTTTTGACCTTGAGAAGGTCATTGAAGGTCAAATGTCAAATCTAAAGTCAGATTTGAATTTCTGAAAAGATGTAGATGATTTTGAAAAAAAAAATTGGTCAATTTGAAGCAAGTTGAAAACAGACCTTTTTTACTTTTTTGACCTTGAGAAGGTCATTAAAGGTCAAATGTCAAATCTAAATTCAGATTTGAATTTCTCAGAACATGTAGATGATTTTGAAAAAAAAAATTAGTCAATTTGAAGCAAGTTGAAAAAAGACCTTTTTTGACCTTGAGAAGGTCACTGAAGGTCAAATGTCAAATCTAAATTCAGATGTGAATTTCTGAGAACATGTAGATGATTTTAAAAAAAAAATTTAGTCAATTTGAAGCAAGTTGAAAAAAGACCTTTTTGACCTTTTTTGACCTTGAGAAGGTCATTGAAGGTCAAATGTCAAATCTAAAGTCAGATTTGAATTTCTGAGAACATGTAGATGATTTTGAAAAAAAAATTAGTCAATTTGAAGCAATTTGAAAAAAGACCTTTTTGACCTTTTTTGACCTTGAGAAGGTCATTGAAGGTCAAATGTCAAATCTAAAGTCAGATTTGAATATCTGAGAACATGTAGATGATTTTGAAAAAAAATTTAGTCAATGTGAAGCAAGTTGAAAAAAGACCTTTTTGACCTTGAGAAGGTCATTGAAGGTCAAATGTCAAATCTTAAGTCAAATCTAAAGTCAGATTTGAATTTCTGAGAATACATAGATGATTTTGAAAATTTTCTTTAGTCAATTTGAAGCAAGTTGAAAACAGACCTTTTTTGACCTTGAGAAGGTCATTGAAGGTCAAATGTCAAATCTTAAGTCAAATCTTAAGTCAGATTTGAATTTCTGAGAACACGTAGATGATTTTGAAAAAAAAATTTAGTCAATTTGAAGCAAGTTGAAAACAGACCTTTTTGACCTTTTTTGACCTTGAGAAGGTCATTGAAGGTCAAATGTCAAATCTAAAGTCAGATTTGAAGGTCAAATGTCAAATCTAAAGTCAGATTTGAATATCTGAGAACATGTAGATGATTTTGAAAAAAAATTTAGTCAATGTGAAGCAAGTTGAAAAAAGACCTTTTTGACCTTGAGAAGGTCATTGAAGGTCAAATGTCAAATCTAAAGTCAGATTTGAACTTCTGAGAACATGTAGATGATTTAGAAAAAAATTGAAGTCAGTCTAAACAGTATTTGTTAAGTTATAGGAAGTTGTAAGAAATTGTTACAGACGCCGGACGCCAGACGCCAACCACCAACCGCCGTCGCAAAAAAACGGAGACCATAACAATATGTCACCACTTTTGGTGGTGACAAAACAAGTACTTGTATTTCATCAAAAATATCATCACACACAGTTACTCTCATAACCAGTGTTAAAAAATTTTTTTTTTCAAAAAACAACTTGGGTCTCTGTCTTAAAAAATCAATATTCATATATATTTCAAAGGTTGAGTTCTTACATGTATTAGAATGGAATAGTTCATAGGTTGGGGTTGATCATTATCATCTATGTATTTCACATCCCACAGGTGCATGTGTTCTATGATACCCCCGAGTGCCCTCATCACCATCCAGGTCCCATACGTGAAGAAGAAAAGGTTGTTAAGGAGGAACAAGATGAAGTATCTGTAGTTGTTACCCCCAAGACAGCTGTTGGTCCAGATGCAATGGTGGTCAAACTTGAATACACAGTGGCCACATAATGCTGCAAACAATGGAGTACATGGAAGTAAAATTGCAATGGCAATGGTGGTCAAACTTGTACACACAGTGGCCACATAATGCTGCAACCAGAATACATGGAAGTAAAATTGCAATGGCAATGGTGGTCAAACTTGTACACACAGTGGCCACATAATGCTGCAACCAGAATACATGGAAGTAAAATTGCAATGGCAATGGTGGTCAAACTTGTACACACAGTGGCCACATAATGCTGCAAACAATAGAATACATGGAAGTAAAATTGCAATGGCAATGTTGGTCAAACTTGTACACACAGTGGCCACATAATGCTGCAAACAATAGAATACATGGAAGTAAAATTGCAATGGCAATGTTGGTCAAACTTGTACACACAGTGGCCACATAATGCTGCAAACAATAGAATACATGGAAGTAAAATTGCAATGGCAATGTTGGTCAAACTTGTACACACAGTGGCCACATAATGCTGCAAACAATAGAATACATGGAAGTAAAATGGCAATGTTGGTCAAACTTGTTCACGGCACACAGTGGCCACATAATGTTGCAAACAATAGAATACATGGAAGTAACATTGCAATGGAAATGTTGGTCAAACTTGTACACACAGTGGCCACATAATGCTGCAAACAATAGAATACATGGAAGTAAAATTGCAATGGCAATGTTGGTCAAACTTGTACACACAGTGGCCACATAATGCTGTAAACACAACAGAATACATACACATATGGAGGTAAAATTGCACTTGAAACAAGGTTCTGTCTTCATGTTTTTTGGACTGGTTAACTATTTTAATTTCATAAAAATGGAGTTTTGATAGTTGGTTCTAGATAGATTGCAATCGTTTGTTCAACTTTATTTTGATTCTTAGTTTTTTTATTTAACAAATGATATAAATAAATTTTAGGAAATCTATTTCATAAAGACCAATTTCCAGGAGTATGGGATAAGTGATCTTATTTTGGAAAATGGTTAGAGTACTATTATCATTACAAATTATTAGTTTTTCCAACAACCAAATCAATTATTTACATGGGACACTGACAGACTGAGCATTGCTGATAATGCATTTGCTATGGTACCTTTCATGATGATGCAAAAATGAAAGAAATGCATCACAGCATTTCTTTTAAACATGAATTTGATAAATAAGAATTTCAGCTTTTAACCAATAAGTTAATAATTAACCAGTATTGTTGTAATGTAAGTTAAGTAGGTGATATGAGGTGGAACATACATACACAACAACTGGATGATATACTAGTACACACCTCCCCTTTTTGTCTCATTAGTGCTGAGAACTACATGTACATTGTACATCTACTACATCCATTTACGCAGGATCACCTCAATATTCAAGTCCAGTATAAAACAGTAAGCTTTGCTACATGTATATATTTATAAGATATAAGACTTAAAGTTATATTCTGATTAAATCCTTTCTTACTATCATAACTATCAACGCCAGTGTTTGGGTCTAAGAGATCACAACTTTATTTATCTAATTTGATCAATTCTTCACAGAATATCATATTAAAAATTGTTTGCGATTAAAACATGATTTTTCTCAGCAGTTACTTTTTTCTTGGATTTATAGATCAGTTCTAGTTCTTTCAAGTTTTGTAATAAGGATTTTCACAAATGTTTATAGTAAGTGTGCATGATCTGAATCAGTCTAGAAAAAGTTCTCTGAATAAGTCTAGGTACAATATACTAGTACATGTGTATTTGCATATATTTGTTTTCTCCTACTTTGCAGAAATGCAGGCACTCCACTGGGATGCTAGCAGAGGATCAGTGAAGCTGATCACAATTGAGAAACCCCAGATTAGCAAGCCAGACCAACTGCTCATCAAGGTGGCTTACAGTGGAGTATGTGGGACTGATCTCCATGTTATGAAACAAGAGTTTCCTGCAGCTGAGAAAGTTGTCATGGGGCATGAGTTCACTGGAACTGTAGAGAATATTGGAGGAGAGGTGACTGGATTCAAAATTGGAGATAATGTTGCAGTTGATCCGAACAGCTCCTGTATGAAATGCGCATTCTGCCTCAAAGGCCAGCCTAATTACTGCCCAACAGGGGGTGGTAGGTCAGGTATTGGGATGTTTCGGAATGGAGGGTGGGCAGAATATTGTGTGGTCCCTCAGGCCCAGGTATTTTCCGTCCCTGCAGAGCTGAGTCTTGCTACGGGTGCCCTATGTGAGCCAATGTCCTGCCTCCAACGTGGATGGGACATGATTCAGCCATTACTTGATGATGCCAAGATACTCATAACTGGCGCTGGTATGATTGGACTCCTTTGGTCCTCATTGCTTCACCACAAAGGCTACAGAAACATCACTATTTCTGAACCTACTGATGGGAGAAGAAAACTTGCAGAAAACCTTGGGCTAGGTTTAAAAGTGCTTACCCCGGATGCTTTAGCAGCAGAGTACAAAGAAGTAGACAGCGATTCATGGTTTTGATTTAATCATGGATTGCACAGGGTCTCCTCGAGCTATTGAGGCCATATTTCCGTTACTTTGCAGAGGTGCTACATTGTGTACTTTTGGATGCTGCCCTGATGGGTCTAAGGCTAACATCTGCCCTGCGGATATCATGATGAAGGAGCTAAGAATCGTAGGTTCCCTGATCAACCCCTATACCTTCATTAAGGCAGTCCCATTAGTAGCTGCTATGGGGGAACGCTACCTGGATTATGATAAGCTAGGGGTCAAGGTCTACAGCCTTGATGGCTTTAATGAGGCATTCCAGGACTTGAAGAATGGGAACATATCAAAAGCCATGTTCAAACTCGATTAAAAATGAAGATAAACTGAAGACTCATTGGAAAAAACACCAGCAGAGTTTTGCAACAAACAAATGTGATATTATCTAAATTGAGATGTAAAAGGGTTATTGACAGTAAAATTTGTCCATATAATAATAAAACTTATAGAAATTATAACTTACATCTAACATTAAAACATAATGTCATGTTCTTGATTGGAAAAAAACAGTATCTACTTTTCATCAATCTTTAATTAGATTCTCTACTTTACTTGTCCAAATATATCAACTTTGCAAGGGGCATTTAAAAATCAATGTATTCTAAAATATGGTCAGAACTTTTTGATTTCACGAAAATAGGCATGATTATTGTAAAAATTTAGAAAGACACTTTAAAATCATCTCTATTGTATTTTTGACATTAAAATCTAATTAAAGATTTTCAACAAATAAATGGAACATTCACTACAGCTATATTACATGGCAAAGTGAAGAATGATATTTATAATGTACTTACAACAATGCTTAGACCTTGCTGGCTTAGGTAGTTTACAAGTTGCACATTGAGTGTTCTCCCAGTACACAAGACCATCTGTGCCCCAGTACTTCACATGGCCTCGAACATTCTTCTCTGAAATAAAGCATGTTCAATAGATGTATTACATAATTTACCTAATTGTCCATACCTCACTAACTTAAACAACTAACTATTGTGAAAATTTGTCAATTCCCCTTTGATTTATTATAATAACTAAGATTTAGGGAGATTCCAACATTCTATAAATCAAAGCATTAACATGCATGATGTCACCATCATTTCTTACAGACAACAACTGGCGATTATCAACTCCATCCACAAGAAAGCTGGAGACTGTAACAATATGTTACTACTTCTATTAATGACAAAATAAACCAATGCATAATGTAAATAAACAATCATAATGGGTATTTTAAATGGGGTACAGTACTAACAATACGAGTTTGAAGGAAGAACTCGTTTGTGCATGCATTGGTTAAAACTGTTCACTGTTAACTAAATATTGGACAAGGGTGTTCATTTCGAAGGAGTGACCACATGCACAGATTTTTAGTTTTAAATATATCAGCTTCACCTTTTATATATTTGACAACTAAGTTCACCTGTCTATGTTTTTATATCATCCATTATGTTATCACCCTCAGAAAGAACAAAAGCTCAAATAAACATTTTTACTGTTAATATTTTTCTCGGGTATCATTCAATTTACTTGTGGTTAAATCAAGAAGTGTCTAAGTGACATAAACATTACAGAAACTTTAGTTGAGAACAATATATAAATACTTGCTAAAATTGTCACTCACTCATGTTAACTTGTTAAATATTCTCTGTTTTCTTAAAATCTTTAAAAAATAAACATATGCATTGAAAAGCCTTACCTGTTATAATGCCAGGGTTACTGATGGAGCTAATTACAAGCAAGGTGACTAGAGTAAGGAAGTTGAATATAGGGACATTAATGTGGTTCTCCTGTTCATAGAAGTAATGTAAGAATGGCAGCACCTCTACTACAAACTCAAAGTATCCAAGGAACAATAGGAACATGTACACCACTTGGAAGAACATCGTCCTGAAAGTACATAAATTATACATGTTTCGACATTTCCTTCTGTAAAATTCTTGAAAAAAGTTTGAAAATGCAATTTCCTAAAATTGAGATCTGTTTATGCCAAAACTCTATGTACACATCAAAATTCATGAACTGGTCATATTGTTCTCTTAAAGAGATATATCAAAACCTTTATCAATGGAAAGCCTTCAGTACCTCAAAATAGTATTTCATTGGTGTTTCATGAAACGGAGGGATTAACTTAAAAGGCTTTATTGCATTAATACTACAAAAATTAAGTGCATGTAGATAGATTCAGACAGACCTTTGTTTGAAGAGTCTCCAGTTGATTCCCTCAAGTAGTTTCCAACATAATTCTGGTACAAGCAGATCTGACACCTGTAATATATTAAATACAGTTTAGTATATGGTAATGCTCTAACTCCTACCTGTGGCACATTCCCTTTTGCATGTTTTTCAGTTTTAGGTTAAACATCTATTTTCAAATTAGAAAATTTTGAATATAATTCAACATAAATTAGCTAGTTTTGTACAGAAAACAGTACCAGATTTCCTTTTTCAAAAATTCAAACAGTTTTTCATTCCAAGGTCAGCAATGCATGACCAACTATGAAACATGATTTAATAAGAATATAACTCTTCAAAACTAAGAACAAAAATATTTAAACTATTACACCTAAAGTATCACTTTTAAAATTTAAGAGAAACACGTGACATGCAGTTTACCTTTATCAGTGTGTTTCTGATCTCTCCTAGTAGGCCAGTCTTGAACAAAGGGAGGTCTCTCATGAAGTAGAGAAGAATGAGCACCAGTACCAAGCCAACATAGCTCCCGAATGCAACAACAAAATTCATGGCTTCAGGTTTGTGTCCGCTCAACATCAGTTTTAGAAGTCAACGCTGTCAGTTGAATTCTTCAGTTGCGGGCAACCTGTTCCATGTGTTGCTCTGAAATTAACAATTTTGTTTTAGTATTTCTGAAAGCATTGGAACAGTTTTATTGATCATGTAAAAGCATTAGAAGTTGCATTGGCCATTAGTAGGAACAGTAAGTAAAATCTATAGTTTTATCATTTCTATATGAGATTTATCTTAACATTAATTCTGTTCCTATTTGCTTTCTAGAGTGATAAGGCACAAGTGATCCTTTTTTCAATCTACAAAACAAACAATTCAAACATTAATCAATTCCTTTTGTTGCACTACCAGACTATTAGCCATAAACAGAATATACTAGGCCTAATTCAGATTTTAGACAAATAAGACTTCTGGACATAAAGTATGAAAATGTTAATCTGGTTGAGAAATAGAAAATTACCTTGCATCCAGTTACATGTCTACAGCAAGTTGAGAATTTGACAATATTTAAACTTTAACTAGGCCTCTAGGATAAAGAGTATAAATGTTAGAAGCAACAGAAGCAGCTTCCCATACAATCAATTAATTCAATATCTGAATAAAACTTTCAAATATCAAAAATAAAAATTATTGAAAACATAAGATGCATGAACGTTGAAAAGGGAAAAGTCAAAAGTATCGCCAAATAGGCTTAAATATCAATTTCGTTGAAATGAAGTTAAAATAATATTGTAAAATCATGACAGGTTTTTCAAAACTACCCTCAGCTCATATCTTTACTTTGTTGCATGTTTTAATAACTGATTGCGAAGATCTCATAATTTCAATTGTAATGATGTCACTGTATCGTGGTGCTTAGTTATAATGATGTCATTTGACCTCAATAACCTTAAGTCTCATAATCTGACATTGCTTTTAGGTTCTCAGAAACAAATTTGCATGTTTCAAAGTCCTTTAAAAAACTGTGACAGATTGAAGGTAAAGAAAATATACACACATTGCTTCAGATCATTTTGATCTCTTTTATCTATAGAGGAGTATTGTCTATAGAAAGTGCAATTTTTCTGAGAATACAAGTACTATATCTAGTATAGTATCACCCTACAGAGTAGCTGTAAATCACAATTTCCATTTCTTTAGAAATAAGATCACCATTTTATTGATATGATCTGTAATATGCCGCTACAAAATGATCTATAACAATGCATGTATATATAATGTACATACACTCACTCCATTGAAATAAATAAAAAAGTTCTATACAATGTACAGTATATTCTATATCAACTTCAACATTAAAACACTGACAAGATAACAATTGAGATTACTTGTTTACAAACCTTATACTTTTGGGGGCCTCAGGGATGTGTAACAAAAAGTTGACATATTCATTGACTTAAAACAATTTTCATTCACAAACAACATTTACAATGTAACTACACTACATAACATTGTCACAAACTGATAGGTATAGTTTTTAGGTCATATCATATCAACAAAAATCATAAGTAGTTAGTTCCCACTAACAAATCTTCTGGTTGGTTCTGACATAAACTTATCAGTAATATCTCAATTAGGAGATTTTATATTCTCATTTACAGCTCACTTACAGAAAATACCCAGATTATATTATAGGCAGATTTCACACATAAATGTGAAAGTTGATTATAAAAGTGCAGCAAATATTCTGAATTACAAGTTACATAACAAATACATGTAGGCTATAAAAAAACTTTAAAAAGGCATTAACATGATTCAATGTCACCACCTAGTTGCCCACAATATTATTAGTTCAATCTCAAGTCAGATTTGAATTCCTGAGAACTTGTAGATGTTTTTGAAAAAAAACAATTGGTCAATTTGAAGCAAGTTGAAAAAAGACCTTTTTGACATCGAGAAGGTCATTGAAGGTCAAATATTTTTTTGACCTTGAGAATGTCATTGAAGGTCAAATCTATAGTTGGATTTGAACTTTTGAGAACTTCTAGTATATATGATTTTGAAAAAAATTGGTTAATTTGAAGCAAGTTGAAAAAATACCTTTTTGACCTTTTTTGATCTTGAGAAGGTCAATGAAGGTCAAATCTCATATCTACAGTCAGATTTGAACTTCTGATAACTTGAAGATGACTTAAATTTTTTTTGTCAATTTGAAGCAAAAAATGGGGACCATAACAATATGTCACCACTTTTTGGTGGTGACATAATTATTAACATCTCTCTAGTATATGGCATATCTCTCTAGTATATGGCACATCTCTCTAATATATAGCACATCTCTCTTAGTTTATAGCACATCTCTCTAGTACATGTACACCCCAGTACACTGTATAACTTAGACACGAGAGCAATTTCAACTCTGTAAATTCAAATATCAAACTTAAAGTAAATAAAATAATACAGAAATACATGTCTAAACAAGAAACTTCTGTAATGACTAAACGATTGCATCTTATTTAAAATGTGCTGAAATTGTTACAAACAATATTGTCAAAATGGTACTTGAATTGACTGATTGTCAATTTTGATTTCACTGAGATTCAGATCAGCCTAAGGTTTATCATTCCTGTTTGGAATTCTTTATCTTCTGTATTGCAAAGTGTAAATGTTAGACATTTCATCCCCAACCAATAGATGGCCTTTCTGGTCCACAGCCACACACATGACATGGGTATTGAGCGTATTGGCAGATAAAATACGGCGTATGAATTTTCCATCAGGGGACAACAAATCAATCTTATCGCCATCAACGTCCCCAACGATGACATGATCATATGAGTCGACACAGACAGTGGGTTGTGCTACAATATCATCATACATCCATTGGACTTTCCCATCACGATTTACACAGATGACTGTGTTCAGAATGTGATCAGCAATTATCACATCATCTTTGGAGTTGGTTACCATGTAGATAGCATCATTGAATAATCTGCGTTGGATTTTGATGCATTTTCCACTGGGATCATTCAAGTCGAAGTAGAGAAGTCTCGGGTTGCCTTGACTGATGTCAGCTACAACTAATTCATTGCATGTGTTGACAGCTATTGCCCAAGGCTCTACTAGTTTTCCCTTGCCTATCTCTCTTGCATCTCTCTGTTTCCCACCTGGCTGGTATATCTTAACAACACGTCTATCCTTATCTGAGAATGCCATGTGATCATCTTGTGTTACTGCCGCACGTAATGGATTCAAGTCCTTCTTTAGGGTTTTCCGGAGCTTGAAATTTTTGCAAAAGATCTGAGCCTGCTTGTTTCTGACCACAATCAACATGTTCTTTCCAATAGGAGCGATATGGAACACAGCCTGGATTAAGTCATCAACGATAGGAGGTATGGGATTAATGCTGAGAATTTTGGATGGAACGAGGTCTCCCTTTGTTGCACTTGGAGTGTTGGGAATTGGAAGCTTTGCATTTTCTGATGATTGACCAATCTGAGCAGATGTCGCAGCACCTGATGGTGCATTCTCATTTGACATTGGAAGCTTTGGATCTTCAGAGGGTTCTATTGGTTTTACATGATCTTTATCATGTGATAGTGGCAAAGAAGACTTGCTGGCTTCTGTTTCTTTATCTTTTGGATTTGTCATACTTTTCCTCTGTGAGGCTTTGTTTGGTTGCTCTTTCGTGGGAACTTTGTGCTCCTCATCCTTTGTAACCCCACACAGATTCAATCCTTTGGTTTTTTCTTCGGGTAGCACATATTCAATATCCTTAGGGTTATATTTCTCAAGAGTTCCAAGTATTATTTCAGTGTCTAAAGCTTTCCCAGCTTTGAACTGAGTGTTTGTGTCCTCTGCCCTAACTTCTGCTCTCAAACTCATTGATTCACAAGTTTCTATTTCGTTTCTCATACATTCCTGCATTTTCAGATAATCGCCCTCTATTTGGCCCATATTGAGGGGTACTCCAGAATATGCCTTAATCATGGGATCGATTGTTAAAATCCTTGACTGAATTAGATCATTTTGCTTTCTCAACTTGTAGCAAAATGACTTTGAGGCATCTGTTAAACTTTTATTGAGTTTGTCATAATAGTTGTCAATGTATTTATGGAACATTCTACATTCATTTGATATATCATCAAGCGATTGTTTCATTGTCTGTTTAATAATGTCTTCTTCTTTACTGCAAGCAGCTCTGGCTAATTCAAGTTCTCCCAGATGACTCTTCAGTTTTAAAAAGTTTTCTTGATTTTGACTTAGCTCTGCCATCATCAAATCGTTTTTTTTACCTCTCAGAATCTTTTCAGATGTAAAATTCTGTTCAAGTGACTGAAATAGAAAATACAACACACTCATCTAATATAAAATTAGCAAATCATCTCACAACATGCAGCATAAAACCTGGGATGATAGAACTAACACATATACTTCACAACATTTAATGCAACATATATCACATGATGTGGAAACATTATAAATGGTACAGATGATGTAAAAGCAAGTATGGACTTTAATAAATTGGATACTAGTATGATCTTGACTTTTGTTCACATGGATGACTGGCTCCATTGTCAAAATGTTGTTCACAAACAACCAGGCAGGTAGACCAGTGGGTGATTTTATGGAGAGCCATATAAATGCAGGTGCAAAAGACATTATGACCACTTGCTGATAAAAAAAAATGTTAAGGCTCCAATTAGTGGGCCTTTTTGGGCCTTATCTTTTAATTAAAGGCCAAATTATCCAGAAAATGGGCCTTAAATTTTCAAAACATGAGCCAAATGTTTCGTTTTAGGGGCCCATATTTTTTTTAATTGAAATTTGGACCCTCGTTGTTCATTTTCAGATCCATCCCTGATGACATCATAGACTAAACATCTGTACATATCATGGATATTCAGTATATGTCAGTGAAGCTATGACCCATAAAAACTTTGACTTTGACTAGTTTTGACCTTATACTGGGCCAGTAAATCTCAGATAAATAACTTAAGAACTGGCACCTAAAGAAAACAGAATAGGAATATTTTTGAGTATTTTAAAAATAATGACAAAGGGCAAGGATCAATTCTATTTTTAGATTTTACGAAAGCGTTTGATTCTATTGAATGGAACTTCATGTTTGAAACTTTAAAAAAATTCAATTTTAACGATAACATCATCAGATGGCTTAAATTATTATATACAAATCCATTTATTAACATTAAACAAAACGGATGGCTATCACATAATATTCCAATGGAACGCTCATGTCGGCAGGGCTGCCCCGTTTCTGCAATTTCATTCATATTATGCTGTGAAGTTATGTCTTTGAAAATAGTTCAAAATAAAAAAATAAAGGGTATAGAAATTGATAACATAGAATATAAAATTTCACAATCAGCAGATGACACATCATTATTTATCAAAGATAAAGCATCCATAAGTGAAGCATTAAAAACTATAAAACAATTCTCGAAATATTCGGGACTTCAACTAAATTTAAGTAAAACAGAAGGAATATGGCTTGGAACCAATCGTACTTTTGAAAAAAAATTTGAAAATATTAATTTTACAGATGAACCTGTAAGATATTTAGGCATATATATAGGTCACAATGAAGATAAATGTTATGATTTAAATTGGAATGAGAAAATAAATGACCTTGAAAAAATTCTTGATTCTTGGAAAAAAAGACACCTTACCTTATTTGGAAAAATCGCTGTTATAAAATCTTTAGCTATATCAAAACTTATCTACTCAGCATCAATTTTATCTTTTAAAGAAGAAATTATAAAGCGAATAAACAACTTGATATTCAACTTTTTATGGAATGGCAAGAAAGACAAGATTAGGCGAACTATTATGATAAACAATATAGACAATGGGGGTCTAAATATGCTGGATTTAGAATCACAGCTAAATGCTCTTAAAGCTGTATGGATTACCCGTATATACGACAAAAACAATATGTTTAACAAAATTCCATACTTTTATTTTGACAAACTTGCTCCAAGTTTGGATATTTTGTTAAAAATGAATGTATTTTCTAAAGACCAACTTGAGGGATTACCTATTTTCTACAAACAAGTTTTGAAAGCATTCAATAGCTGTAAAGATCTTGATGAAATAAAAAATCTGAAACACCATGAAATAGTCCAGCAAACCATATGGAATAACAGATTATTTCAATTAAAAGGCAAAGCACTTTTCTTTAAATCTTGGATAGATAGTGGTATTATTTATGTCAAAGATCTTATCATTCGAAATGATTTTTTAAATGTAAACTATATTCTAGAAAAATTGAGGAATAAAATAAATTGGATTTCAGAATATTTTCAAGTCTCAATTGCAATGAAATCAATAAAAAAAATCATTAACATAGAACAAGCAAACTTCACAAATATATCAAGAAAACTCAATTTCAAAGTAAAAAATGTTCAATTAGATTTTAGAGGCCAAAAATCCAATTTCTTTTATAACATATTGAAGAATAAAAAATCTGAAAAATGGTTTGTCTCAAAAAAATGGGAAAAAGATTTCTGTATAACAAATCAATGTAAAATAGATGAAATAAATTGGCAGAATTTTTTTGTTAGCAAGATCATCAAAATTAAAGACAAAAAAGTTGCCAATTTTAACTTCAAACTAATTAATAACATACTTCCTGGGTTAACTGACTTATTTATCTATGGTATAACAAATTATTATCATTGTAGTATTTGCAATCACTTATGTGATTTGAAACATATTCTTTTTGAATGTTGTTTGTCAAAGGATATATGGAAATTTATATACAACACATGTGGTCTCAATATTTCGTATAGAAAAATAATAATTGGTTATAATGGCCAAGACTCTCAAACTAATTTTCTGAATTATTTTACAAGTATAGTTGCTTACAGCATTTACAAATCCTACATTTTAGAACTGAATAGTAAAGAACAAAGAACATTTGAAAAGATACTTTTTATGTTAAAATATGAAATTAATTGTAGAAAAAATGTGTATTATTGTTCCAAATGGAATTTATTATCCAAACTACTGCAATGAGATTATGTAAACCTGTTTTTTTTATAAATCATGTACTGTCTATATATTTAGTAAATGAATGAAATAAAGACTATTTTAAAAGAAAAAAAAAACCTAAAGAAAACAGACTATAATCTACATGATATACATGTATATCGGTAGAGGACAGGGAAGCAAATTCAAGCAATCTCGTGCATGTAGTTAATTGTTGGACAAAGGAAGGCCTGCATTGAATGTCCGACAATTGTCTACAAAATTGGATATCACACAGGTGCCATTTTATCACTTCAAAACACACAAGAACTGATCAAGTTCCAATCTTTTGGATCTCTGATTATGAATTTATAGTCAATTATAATGTCAGAAAATAACGACATTTTCAAGATTGTTGTTGACAAAGGAATGAATATTGAGTTTGAGGTCTGGGAGCCAATCCTCCTTGCTGTGTCCCCTAGGTCTTAGAAAAGATCTACAATGTAGCTAATACTCCCGCTAACACTACTTTTCACATGTCCTATAAATATTACAGTAAAACCTGTCTAATCCGAACACCCATGGGACCAGCCAAAAGCGTTCAAATTGGCAGGTGTTCAAATTTCGAGGATTTTGTTGGTCGGGGGGGGGGGGATTTTCATTGTTCAGTGCACTATATTGAACACTTAATACTAAGTCAGAAAACAATACATGTTGTTGATATGTTAATTCTACAATAGGCCGCTATGTTTTATTTATATTTTGAACAATTTCATCATTTTAGTAAAAATAACTCTTATATTTTGGCAAAAACTTTGTAATACACTGTAAAAGTATATGATAGTCTCATACAAAGTCTTATGCTTATCAAATGGCTTATTCCATATTATGGTTATATAGCACTGCTTTACTTTTGCTTGAAAAAGTCCTTCATTGTTGTTTGTTTCTTGGCACTTTTAGCATTAGCAATATTTGAGTAGATATTATTAAAAATAATTTTTCATGAGTGTTCATTCGAGGTGATGCATAATCCTTCAAAATATCAAGGGCATTCAGGATGTCAGATGTATATGCGAATATTACAAAGTTTGATTTTTTCTCCTTCTCGTGATATAATCATGTCTACAAATGGCGTCTGTGTTGTCTTTGTGATTATAAAACATCTACTGATTGAATCTTAGCTATCATAACAGACCCATGGGATATAAAACAGTTAAGACCTGTTCATAATCCAAATCAAAAACATCCAGTTAATTTACAATAAGGATAAACCAATTATCTCCCAGACTCTCACCTTTCTCTTAATCCAAATTAAAAACATCCAGGTTATTTCCAATATTGATAAATCAATTATCTTCTTGATTCACACCTTTCTCTTAATCCAAAAATAAAACATTCAGTTCTTTTCTAATATTGGATAAACCAATTAACTCCTGTATTCACACCTTTCCAAAACATCCTGTTGTTTTCCACAAATTAGGGATGTCACTGAGACTAAATAAGTTAATTGGGACAATTGGTTCTTTGATTGCATTTGTATATTTGTAAAGATAAATAACAACTATAACATTGACTCAATATGTGGCTTTAATTGAAATGTCCAGACATTTGATTTCTGATAAAAATGTTCAGATTAGACAGGTCACTTTTTCAAATCTGGTTGTTCACTGTTCAAATTAGGAGGTGTTCAGATTTCAAGGTTTTTTTAACATGGGAGTCAATGGGATGAAAAAATGGGACCGAAAAAAAGTGTTCAAATTGGAAGGTGTTCGGATTAGCCAGGTGTTCAGATATACAGGTTTTACTGTACCTGCATAGGCCTACATGTTGATCATTTAATAAAAAATGGAATTTATAATTATGGCAATAAAGAAAGTGAACATTCTCCCACAAATTATGTTTTTATTGGAATGTGTTCTTGAATAATTACCCGCAATGCAATACTCATCTTGATTTTCAATATGAAAAGCATAAAACATTTTTATTCTCATGTAAAAGTCACAGTCAGAGAGAATGTTTCTGGCGAAAGGAGATTCTGGGATTTCAATTTCTTGAAGTTGGGAAACCGGAATGGCTTACATTTCTTAATTCCCGAATCTCTCCGAAATTAGCTCATCTTGGTGACTGTAAATTGCACAGCTGTATTCAATGGAGTCTTGTCATATTCAATCAGCCTCAATTTTAAAGTGTATATTTTATTTTTAACGTGATTTCATCGTTTTTTGTTGACTGGTAATCATCCGCGGGGCAAATGGCAAGATGGATGACTTTTGACCTAAACTTGACCGATGGCGGTGACGTCATCAATTTTATCTCGACGTTGATTGGTTAAATGATGATTGTTT